GATCCGGGTGACTCGTTTTTTCGAGCAGGACGCTTTTGTTCAATGTCGGCCCCTGGGACCTTCACAGATCGATCTGGCTCGAAAAGCGGAGCAAGACAACGACGGGGTCCAGGGGTCCGGGCATGATTTGTTGCGATGTTGTTCCCCAATTAGTGTTCACATTGAAGGGGTCATAGCGGACATAGAAGAGATTGGCGAAAGTTGCGGGCCGATTTCGGTTGGCGGCTCTCGGTGGGCTGCTCTCGGTGGGCGCCCCCTCAAGAGACTGGCGAAGTAGCTGGCCGATTTCGGTGGGCGGCTGGGCGGGTTGTCGGTGGGCGCCCCCTCTCTCTATGTGTTGTTTCTCTCTATCTCTCTCTATATATATATATATATTAATGTTTTGTTGCATCCATGTTATGCATTTATCTGTCCCTCTCTCTCTCTCGCTTGGTAGTTGTTTCTATGTGTTTCACACTTTGATGCGCAAAGCAGTATCGAATATTTGTGTCTGATGTTTCTTCTACGTGTTATTCAATATGTTTCTCTTTCGTTCACCTTTCTCTCTCTCTCTCTCTCTTTCCCTCCCTCTCTCACTCATGGTATTCGTTGTACCTGTCTCGCTCTTTTGTTTCGCCCCCGCTACGCCATACATTATAACATCGTTCCTACAGGATGAGGTGATTCTCCGGTGAACTATTTGTTTGTTTGCAACATCGGATCACAGGGAAGAGCGACCCTTCGCCGGAGTGGCCTTTTGGTGCGGGCCCTCTGGGGCCCCCCGATCGCCGAACGCGGTGCGGCAGCAGCGTCTTGCGCGCTGGAGTCTGGTCCCCCCGCGGCCCCCAAGATCGGCCGCGCACCAAAGGGCACTCCTTTGCCCAGCGTGTCACTCCTCCTCCTCCTCCTCCTCCTCCTCCTCCTCCTCCTCCTCCTCCTTGCCAAGGGGCGCCCTTGCCCAGGGCCACACTCTTGCGTATGTCGCCGACGGGAGGGCGGCCGCTGCCCCCCCGAGGGGCAAGATTCTCCACGAGATACCGGCTGGTGCTGTGAGCCGCTCTCGGCCTCCGCAGGGGACCTCGCCAGGGCCCTCGCCGGGCCGTCGACGAACGACTCGGGACGGAAAGATTCGACCGGCTGGCGTTGGGCCGTGCGCGGCCTCCGGGAGGCCCTCGCCGGGCCGTCAAAAAGCAAGCGACTCCGGACGGAGCAGGGGCCCTGATGGCCGAGCAGTGGCGAAGCGTCCTGGCGTGCCTGTAGGCCCACCAGACCATGTTCTGAGAACCTTGTGTGGTCTGCACGAGAGGTTCTTAGAGCAGTTCCGGCTGGGGCTGTCTTGTTTTCACACATCGGGTTAATGTTCTAAGAACTGTGTTTTTGTTTTTCGAACAGCTCGGGGTTCTAAGACCATGTCGTGGCAGGACTATAGGAATCCCGGGACGGTCGGTCCCTGCTCAATGATGGGGAAGCGGTCCAGACCTCGGGGGCCCACGCCTCGACAAAAGAATTGGAGCGGCCGGATGTCTGGGAAGCGAGGGTGCGCTTCTTCCTCTGGGTTCGGGCCCCTCCAGAATTATGCTACGGAGAGCAGCAGCCTGGTCGCCGTGCCACGCTGCTGGGCCTGGGGCGCGGTGAGCGCCACCCGGATCCGGCCGCGTCGCCGGGAGGCTTCCGGGAGGCCCGACGGACCCTGACCGTTAGATGCCAGAATGACTTGGTCGCGGCCGACGTCATCGGTCGCTACCGATGTGCTGCCTGCCTCCGATCCCCGTATGGGTCGCAACTGGTGTGCTTCAGATTCGGTTGCGACGGGTCGGTTGGGACCGATCGGTCGCGGCCGATCTGGAGTTCCGGTCGGTGGATACCAATCGCGACCGAAATCATCCGGTATCGAATGATCTGCGAAGGACGGGAAGCCCCGGGGAGCGCAGCCGCTGCCCGGAGGGGCGTCGGCCCGGGCCCCTGAGCACCCAGATCATTGAACGTCCGATTTCTTCGGTTGCGACCGGGACCGATGCTGGAATTCGAGGTAGAATCGGCAGCCACCGATCTCGTCGGTCGCGACCAGAAAGCTCTGGCATCCATTGATCAGGGGACGGAGGAAGACGCTGGATGGTTGCAGTTGGCGCCTTCAGGTATTGAGGTCTGAGTTGTGGAGGTACGTTGGCATCCCTCCCTACGGCTGTCTTCGTTGGCCGAGGGGCCGTAGGGAGGGCCTCGGCCCCCTCGATTGGCAACTGACGCCGTAATGTATTGGTGCATTGGTGGGAGAGGGCGACCCAAGCGGCCCTTGTGATGGCAGCCGCAATACGTGTGAGGCCTACAGTGGGGGCGCGTGCCAAGAAACCAGTTGGATTTTGCCAGGGTGCCCTGGGTTTCTTGGATTTCGATGGGCCTCACAGAAAAGATCTGGACGATTTTCGATCGACTGATTTGGATTGTCATGGATCACATCGCGGATTTCAGGGTTGGGCTTCTTGCGGAGGTCTCTTGTGGCCGAGCCCCCACTGTATGATGGTCCTCACTGGCGAGGCCTGTGATGGTCCTCACTGTGAGGGGAGGCCTCCCCTGACCTTCCAGGAGGGCTAAGAAATAGCACCAGGACATCTTAATTCCAGTCGAGATTTTGGGCAGCCCAGATAGGTCCATGGGTCCGGAGGGCTATTTTTGTTGCACGGGAAGGTCAGGGTCGCTGGCTCTCGGAGGGCCTCTCGGGGGGTGCCCTCCGGCAGCCGCGCCTCGTCGAAAGAGAGCGCTCTGCTTGCCCGCCGAGGGGTGCCCGAGAGAGCCGCCGCGCGGCACGGCCGCGGGAGGCCCGAGCCCTGTGCACGAGCCGGGAAAGCCGTCGGACCACTCGGCGAGGCGATCGGCGACCCTCCCGGACGTCCGCCGACGGGATGCTGCCTCCGTGCGCGGCCCCACCCTGACCTTCCGGGAGGGCTAAAAAGATAGCACCAGGACCTCGATAGCTTGATTCCAGTCGAGGTCTGAGGCGGCCCCGATAGGTCCTAGAGGTCCGGAGGGCTATGTTTTAGCACTCTGGAAGGTCAGGGCCAGAGGTCCCAGACATGAGCGCGTCGTAACAGAAATCAGGGCGCGAGGCTTGGTTGGCCACGTTCAGCACGGGGGGGTCCTCGCCAGGCCTCACGAGAGCGTATCACAAAACGACTCGCGGGAGAACAAGCCGGCCCCGGGGAAAGGGTCCGGATTTCTGGGGGCGCTGGAGGGTTTCTCCGAAGGGCTTAGGCCACCCGTCCTCCTCCTCCTCCTCCTCCACCTCCTCCTCCTCCTCCTCCACCTCCTCCTCCTCCTCCTCCTCCTCCTCCTCCTCGGGTCGCCTACGGCCTCGGGGGAAACCGTGCAGGGGGCGCCGTCCTGAAAAAATCGGGACGTCGCATGTCTGGGAGGTCCCGCCCCGGGTCCATGTCTGATGGTCCCCTGGGCCCGATGCCGGGCCCCGGAGGCCTTCCATCGAGGAAGAGCACACTGTACAGTACAGGCTCGCGCCGTGTCGACCGGCGGCGACCCCGCCGCCAGCGTTCAACGTTGGGCGCCGCCGGCGGCCCAGAACCGGTGGATGTTGAACGATATGGCGTTTCGGAAACGGCCGATCGTTCCGGGTCGAACGATCCCCGCGGTGCCAGGAACCAACGCCGGGGTCGACGCTGTCGACGCGGCACGAACCTGCCGCAGCCTCGGAGGTTTGGGCTCCCCGGCGCCTCTTCTGCCCCCCCCTCGGGCCTCCCTGTTGGATCCGGGCGCGGGGCGGCCGGCTGCTGCCACGGCTCTCCGCGCACGGCCCCGCGCCCCTTGCGCAGCGCCCCCCCTGAGATCCGACGCTGCAAAAAAAGTGTTCAACATCGCAGACGATGAGGACCAGACCCCCCAGATCCCATCCTCCTGCGCCGTTTCTGGAGCCGCATCGACCTGTGAGGGTCCCGCGGGGGCCCGAAATGTGGAGCGAAAAGAGGCCCGGCTCGAAAGCAAAAGTTGAGTCGCCAGGAGCTCAGGGCTCCCCACCTCCCCGCGCGCGGGCGAAAGGGGGGGATTGGGAAAGGGGGGGGGGTACGAAATTTGCTGCATGCAGCTGGTTTCGGCCTCACCGAGGGGCCCATTCCTCGATACATACATAGCCGCCTCCGGCGCCGGGAGGCGCCGGGAAAATCAGCTACGTGAGCTGATTCTCAACCCCCCCCTTTGCTATCCCCCCCCCTTCGCCCGACCCGATCCCTGCGCGACGGGCCCGCCTCGCTGCGCGACCGGGCACTCCCCTAGATAGGCGCAGCCTCCGCCCGCCCCGGAGGTGGCGGGGCCGGTCGCGGCTGCGGCCCCCGCGCGCCCGACCCAGACCTCCGGCCGCGCCACTTTCGGTGCGTGGGCTCCGGAGGCCTGGACTTATGCTGGGCCTGTCCCCCTGCAGGGGGATTTTCGACGACAAGTGAAACATACACCAAAAATATATCAAAAAGGTCAAAAATACTGAAGAATAGTCCACTGACTATTTTTTTAACTTACTTTTTGACAATTTTTGGGGTATGTTTTCATTTTTCATTGAAAATCCCCCTGTAGGGGGTCAGGCCCGACTTAAGCCTGGACCACTTCCGTACCCAGACGCCCTCGAGCCATGAAAAACTCCCGGCGGGAGGTTTTCCCATATTTCCGACCTCTGGGGGCCCCTATATGTTCTGGGCCTCGGGAACGTCAAAAAAGGATGATGATATACTGGTCCCGGGGAATGGGTCCAGACCTCTATATAGGGGTCGACGTCATACAAAGAGTCATGAGGGTGGGGGTCTGGGTACAGGGCTGGTCTGTCGTCCCGAGTCGTTTTCTCACGGTCCCGAGGCCCGGCGAGGGCCCCCATGGGGAGGGGGCCGCGGCTCTCGCTGCCAGGGGCCGCCCGCTTCGGCCGCGAGAGCGCCAATGCGCGGCGGCGGCAGGACAGCCCGTGCGGGCTCCGCTAGGCCCGGCAGGGTGGAGGCGAGGCAGCCCCGAGGGCCCAGGTGTCGGTGCGACGGAAGCTCGGGTGTGTTCAATAGATGTGTGAAGTCGGGCGCGTCCCTCGACAGGAGGAGTATTCAAGAATAGTCAAAACATCGTATGGGGGCGCTTTTTAGTGCTCTCTGGAATCTTTTTGGGTATGTTTTGACTATTTTTTGTTTTTGTTGCCCAACTCTGCCTGTCGGAGGACATGCCCGACCTAACAATAGGGGGCGATTCACCAGGGGGGTGCTGGATGTCATGGTCGGGGCCACGATGTCTCCCAGATGTCATGGCGCCCTCGTCTCATTTCATCATGTCCCCTGCCCCCCTCCCTCGTCCGCGCATACAGTCAACCCGCACAGTAAGGATGGGTAACCGTCCCAAGGGTACCCTTGCATTCTTGCCTCCTCGGTCCATCCTTCGCCACTTTCGTTTGCCTCGCCCCGCTCGAAAAGCTTCGAAACGGGCGTCCAAGGCCCTTGCATCCTTACCGCGCATCCTTACTATACGGGTTGGCTGTATGCTCCCCTTGTCGGCGCACGTGAAGATCTCGGTACAATCGGAGCGGGGACGAAAACCGACAGCAGCGCTTGCCCATCTGAGAGCAGGCCTCGCTGTCGGCGTCGCCGCAGGCGTTGTCCGTTTGAGGCAGGTCGCTGGCCCAACAGCAGCCGCTGTCCGCTCTAGGCATCATTCGGTGTTGGGCGTCGTGCTCATGCCTCATGCCATGCCGATGTCGGGTCGTGCACGACTTGCGACGGAAGGCTTCTTGCAACTGTTGGCCTCCGAGGGGCCCTTAACCAGGCCGCGGGAAGCCGATAAGAGACGGTTGGGATGAAGGAGCCGTCCCGGGGAAGGCGTCAGGACCTCGGGGCGTCCACGTTCTTCGAGTGGGTGATCGACTACATAATTGCTTTACCACATACGTGTTTTTTCCTGCCGAGTCCGCTATTTTTCCGTGGGTTCTCGAAAGGCAAAACGAATATCGAGGTAAATCAATTCTGTAGTCGATACCATGCTCCTGTTCTGGATGGAGCACAGGAAGCACGGTGTCGGGGGTCTGGGACGGGGTCCCCCCTGGAGTCCTGGGGGGCGCGAAGACCATCGCGCCTCGCGCGCCGCGGGCACTGGCCGGAGAGCTGCTCATCTCCAGGGGGCGGCGCAAGGGCGCGAAGACAGCCACGCGTCGCCCATCGCGGGGAGCGGTGGCCGAAGTTAGGCGACCCAGAGGGCCCATATCGTGCTCCCGAGCCCCTCCCTAGCGCCCGCCAGGGACGGGTGGGGGGGCCTCATTCTCCTCCGTCATCAAGCTCCTTCCCCCTTCGTATCTCAGGAAGATATTGGGCTGGTGCTTCTTACTCTTTTACTTTTCCTCCTCCTCCTCCTCCTCCGCCTCCGCCTCCGCCTCCTCCCTCTCCTCATCCTCCTCCTCCTCCTCCTCCTCCTCCTCCTCCTCCTCCTCCTCCTCCTCCTCCCCTCCTCCTCCCCCTCCCCCTCCTCCTCCTCCTCCTCCTCCTCCTCCTCCTCCTCCTCCTCCTCCTCCTCCTCCTCCTCCTCCTCCTCTCCTCCCCTCCTCCTCCTCCTCCTCCTCCTCCTCCTTCCCTCCTCCTCCTCCCCTTCCCCTCCCCCTCCTCCTCCCTCCCCCCTCCCCCTCCCCCTCCCCCCCTCCTCCTCCTCCTCCTCCCCTCCTCCCTCCTCCTCCTCCTCCTCCTCCTCCTCCTCCTCCTCCTCCTCCCCTCCTCCTCCTCCTCCTCCTCCTCCTCCTCCTCCTCCTCCTCCTCCTCCTCTCCTCCCTCCTCCTCCTCCAGGGGGGCGTTCCCCAGGACCAGCCCCACAGCTGGCTGAGTGGAGCTGGGCATTGGGCTGTCCACCAGCTTGTTAAGCTCTGGGCGGGCCCCGTCGCCGAATTCGGAACGAAGGAATTTTCTTGGCGCACCGCGCCGCGGTGCCAACTCGCGCGCTGGGCCGTCTGTATATATTGCACCAGAGGCGCTCACGAGGCCTTCCCGCGCTCAGCCGCGGGGCTCACATCTCGTCACCTGCACGACCTTCTTGCGCCTAGCCAAAAGGTCCCAAAAGGCCTCGGGCTTCTCGCGGGTCGCTCGGACCTCGTGCCTGCCACGCGCGGTGCACGCTCGCGCGTCCTCGCCCGCCTCCGCGCGCGCGCGCCTCGTGCGCCGCGAGGCCCGCGGAGGCATTGCTCTTCAACGTCTTCCACTACAGGGCTCTAGAAGTAGTCGAAGAGAACCCCGGAGGAGTCCCACAGGGGCGACGGGGAGCCCAAGGATTCAGTCGGGCGTATCCCTCTACAGGAGTAAGATTCAAAAGTTGTCCAAAAATAGTGTGGGGACGACTTTTCAAGCATCACTTTGCAATATGTTTTGAATATTTTTGTTGTTCGTCCAAAATCCGCCTGTAGGAGGACACACCCGCCTAACCCTAGGACGCCCGGTCGGGCGGCCGTTTCTCCTGAGACGTCCTCACAACTGATTCAGGAATCGCGATCTCGCCTCGATGCTGGCTACACGTTCTGTCCAGCACTGGTTCCGGCCAGCAGGAAGGGCGGACAGGCACGAGGTTCTGGGTTCGGAAAGGTTTGTTATTTTCCACGAGGATGCAAAAGTGTTGATGTCAGGTGTTGGCGCTAAAATGCAGATGTAATCGTTGTCCAGCCATGGTTGGAAATCCAGTCGCCCTCCTCCTCCTCCTTCACTCGTTTCCGGCTCCTTCTCCCTCTGCCTCCTCTTTCTCTTCCTCCTCCTCCTCCTTCCCTTCTCATGTTGCCTCACCTTTCCCACTATATCTCTCCTCCTCCTCCTCCTTCTCCTCCTTTCCTTCCTTCCCAGCCCGTCCTACCTCATGTTCGCGTTTCTTCTCTTGGCTCCCTTATTTTCGTCCTTCTTCTCTTCCTCCTCCTCCTCCTCCTCTTCATCATCGTCATCAACAGCATCATCCCTGTAGTCCCCCACGCGGGCCCCAGAGATTGCCCTCGTGGCCCTCCACGTTCCCCCTTGCCCCTAGGGACACTGATTTCACCATTGTTTTCAGCTTGGCTTCACCACATCTGTCTCTACTTCCCCTCTCCCGTCAGCTCTGCTGTGCATCGCTTCTGAATTGCATGGTGGGGATACGCAAATAGTCAATAATTGGCGCACGCGCGTGCGCGCGCGTCCGAAGTATCCCCATGCTCGTGCGAGTCAGGCGAGATTCGATCGGCGAGGCCAGGGTATTTGAATAATTTGTCACACCTGCGTCGGCGATGTTGTAGAGACCGAGAGCAGCAACACGTGAGAATTGTCACTCAGCTTCAACGAATCAGCGGGCCTTTGCGTACCCGCCCTCTCCAGTAACACAAGAACCCACGCTGGCGATGGATTATTAGCAGGGTGATGCAGAGCAGGAGTCGCTCCATAACATGCGCCCAGAACCGTCTTCTGACCTCGAGTGTTTATTCAAGCACTTGATCAAGTCGCTAAATAAGGTCGGTGAACATGAAAGTCTGAAGTAAGGGCTGGTCTGATTCAAAACACGAGTGAGCATGTTGCCACAGGTCTTAGGTAAACACTTGTGCACCCTCATGGTTGTTCAGCTTCCTGGGGCCGTTTTCGGGCCCAGGAACCGTCAAAAACGGATCTATGGTGAACAATAGCACCAGGTGGACCTTGGGATGGTTCTGGGAACAGATTCTAAGCGAGTCGTCGACGATGCATCGCCGATGCGGCGCGATCCTGCGACCCCACCTACTCGTAGGTCGGGCGTGTCCCTCTACAGGAGGAACAAAAAATAGTCAACAAATAGTATGGGGACGATTGTTTGTTTTTAGTTGTCAAGTTTTTTTTTTTTTTTTTACTACTTGTTATTTGTGATCCAGAATCCCCATGTAGGAGGACATGTCCGACCTAAACTTACTCGGACCCCATTTGTGAGACTCCTGGACCAGTAGACCGACGTTTACCGCTTCTCCGCCCAGTCCGCGGTGTCGCCTTGCCCTCCCCACAGTCCTTCTCGTCGTGGACAGATGAAGGAGGATTACCCGTCTCTCCCTCCCCCTCCTCCTCCTCCTCCTCCTCCTCTCCTCCTCCTCCTCCTCCTCCTCCTCCTCCTCCTCCTCCTCCCTCCTCCTCCTCCTCCTCCTCCTCCTCCTCCTTCTCCTCCCTCCTCCTCCTCCTCCTCCTCCTCCTCCTCCTCCTCTCCTCCTCCTCCTCCTCCTCCTCCTCCTCCTCCTCCTCCTCCTCCTCCTCCTCCTCCTCCTCCTCCTCCTCCTCCTCCTCCTCCTCCTCCTCCTCCTCCTCCTCCTCCTCCTCCTCCTCCTCCTCCTCCTCCTCCTCCTCCTTCTCCTCCTTCTCCTTCCCGCTGCCACTTGTTTGGGTTGCTATGTTCGGCCTCCAGGGGACCCCGCCAGGCCCCCGGACCGTCAGAAATCGGCTCGGGAGGAGCAACTGGTCGGGGGGAAGGGGTCGAGGCTTCTGGGGAGCCACGCTACGAGAAAACCACGGCGTCGGATGTCCGGATGTCTGGGTCCCGAAGGACCTCTTGAGATTCTCCTCATCTCTGGGCCCCGGGAGGACGTGCGCGCTCGGCGCGCAAGATGTCGGCAGGTCCGTGCCGCTACGACCTTTGCTTTGGCGTTGCATTTTTTCAACAAGGGGCGACTTTGCTTTGCCTCGCGCCCTGGGACCCTCACTGATCAACCCGCTCGAGAAATGCAGCAGAAAGATGGGGTCCAGGGCCCCCATCGAGTTCTTTCTTGCGATGATGCGGTGTGTTCGTGACGTTGGTACCCAGGGTCTGAGTGCGTGCTGACCTCCTCCCGGATGCCCCAGGCTGGCCCGTGCTCCCTCTTCTGTCGCGGAGCTGGCCTCTGGAGTCACCCGCAGTTGGGCTGTCGCCCCCCCCCCCCGCAAGCCGCGTGGAAGCAGGCACGCCCCCAAGGAAGAGCTCCCTCCCTGCCTCGCTCCTGCTTGCCCTCGCGCCCACTGCCTTCGTCTGTCCACAGGCGGGGCAGCGGGGTGTGCTGGTCCACGGTGCCCCGCCCCTG